TACGGTCCACAACATCGGCAGCATGGTGCCGATCAAGCTGAAAAGATCGAACTATCTGCCATGGCGTGCGTTGTTTGGCCCAATTCTACGGCGCTACAAGCTTCTTGGAATCATTGATGGCACTGACGTATGTCCATCGCCATTCCTACCTGATCGTAGCATTAATCCTACCTTTGAGGAATGGTACGAAAAAGATCAAAATCTTTTGATCTGGTTCAATTCCACACTTTCTGAGGAAATCATCCCCTTCACGGTTGGTGTTTCTTCGTCTCACAAACTCTGGTTGAAGCTTGAACAGAGATTTGGTGGAATTTCAGAGGCTCATATTCATCAATTACGGTCGCGTCTCCAATTTGTTCAGAAAGGATCTCACTCCATCTCCAAGTATCTTCAAGAAATTAAGGAAATCTCAGACTCCTTGCAAGCTGCTAGTGCCACCGTTTCTGATCGCGACTTAATTGCAGCCACACTTCATGGCTTGCCTGATGATTTTGAGTCCTTCATTGACTCAATCATGCTTTGATTGTCCTCTACATCTCTTGATGAACTCCATGGTCTTCTTCTCACTAAAGAATTGTCCATGGCTCGACGCAAAACTATCAGTTCATCCTCTGCTGCTGAACCTTTTCAAGCCTTCTCGGTGTACTCTCAGCCCCCTTTGCTACCCACTCCTTCTGTGTTTGCTGCTCAGTACCAATCTTCATCCTGGCAACAATCAAAATCTGCAAATCGTGGCAAACATAACAGAGGCCATTCCTTCTCTCACAGAGGCAATCGCAATTTCCAAATGAACCGTGGAAATTACTCCAACATTCGTGGAAATCGTAACTATCAAGGCCCTCGTCATCCTCAAGGCTCTTCCCATTTCAAAGTTCCCTGTCAAATCTGTGGTTCTAACAGTCATGAGGTTCTTGATTGTTTTGATCACATGAATCCTGACATATGTGGTCGGATTCCTCCAGCTAAACTAGCTGCTATGTATGTCAATCAATCTGCCAAACCAGCTCAGCCTTGGTTGATTGACTCGGGTGCGACTTCTCACATTACTAATGATGTTGCCAACATTTCTTCTCCCACTCCCTATATTGGTGAAGATAAAGTGTATATTAGTGATGGTAAAGGTCTTTCTATTCATCATATTGGTTCATCTGCCTTGCATAGTCCTCATACTTCTTTTAAGCTGTAGAATGTTTTACACGTTCCCTACATGAAACATAATCTCTTGTCTGCTTATCAGTTTCTCAAAGATAATAATTGTTCATTGACTCTTGACCCTTATGGATCCACTGTCAAGGATCATATTTCGGGGAAGATCCTTTTGCGGGAACCCGTTAGAGATGGATTCTACCCTCTTCAAGGCTCCAGCACTTCTTCACTTTCTTCTCCCTTATCTCTGATCAGTGTCAAGGCTCCTGGCAAAGTTTGGCACCGACGCTTGGGTCATCCATCCTCATCTATTTTCAGAAGGGTAATTTCTACTAATAAACTGGCCTTACAAGGCACGTCTACTATTGATTTCTTCTGCTCAGATTGTGCACTTGCCAAGAATCATAAGCTTCCTTTTGGAATTTCTTCTTCAACAACAAATCACAGTCTTCAACTTCTGCACTGTGATCTGTGGGGTCCAGCATCTGTTATCTCCAACAGTGGTTTAAAATACTATTTGCTCATTGTTGATGACTTTAGCAAATATAGCTGGTTCTTTCCTTTGAAGTCCAAGTCAGATGTCTTTTCTACATTTGTTGTCTTCAAATCTTATGTAGAAAATTTACTTGGAAATAAAATCAAAGTTTTGCGTTCAGATTCAGGGGGTGAATTCACCAGTACCTCTTTTGCTTCCTTTCTCAGTACACATGGCATTTTTCACCAATTTAGCTGTCCACATACTCCTGAACAGAATAGTTGTGCTGAGAAAAAACACAGGCATCTTGTTGAGACAACTCGTACTTTGCTAGTTGCTTCTCATGTTCCTCATATATTTTGGGTTGAAGCCTTCTCCACTGCCATCTATCTCATTAATCGGCTTCTCATCTCTTGTATTTCCTCATCACCATGGGAATTATTATTCAAGCAACCCCCAGATTACTCTAAACTCAAAGTGTTTGGTTGCCAATGCTTCCCTTGGCTCCAACCCTATGTTCACAGCAAATTAGATGCCAAGAGCAAACGTTGCATCTTTCTTGGATATAGCCTTCAACACAAAGGCTATAGTTGTCTTGATCCCCTCACCACTAGAATTTACATCTCCAGACATGTTGTCTTTGATGAAAGTACTTATCCTTTTCAATCACTGCAGCCTCCCTATTTCTGTCCCAATCCATCATCACTAGCAAGCTCTTCCTCTTTGGATTTTTATTTTGAGAAATATATTCCCCATCTCTCCACTAGCCGTGCACCATCTATTCCACATGTTTCTACTTCTGCCTCTGATTCTCCACATCCTTCTTCTTCTCAACCCATTTCAGTCCCTGCTACTTCCAGTTCTGACTTTATTTCAGAATCCTCCACCTTACCCTTCAGTCAGTCCAATCATCCTCCTATTCCTCTTAATTCTCATCCAATGATCACAAGATCCAAGGCTAGCATTTATTAATCTACACCTCATGCCTATGCAGCAACTAAGCATCCTCTTCCTGTTGACATTGATTATGTTCCCAGTACATACCTGCAAGCTTCTAAGCATGCTCATTGGCGAGCTGCAATGCAAGATGAGTATAATGCATTGATCTCTACTGGTACTTGGTCCATTGTCCCCTCTCATCCTTCCCAAAATGTAGTTGGATGTAAATGGGTGTTTCGAGTTAAGAAAAAGGCTGATGGCACCATTGACAGATATAAGGCTGATGGCACCATCAACAAGAAGGCATTGACTTCCAAGAGACCTTTAGTCCAGTTGCTAAGCCAGTTACAATTCGGATCTTACTCACTCTTGCTGTCCAACATAACTGGTTTCTCAATCAATTGGATATAAGCAATGTCTTTCTTCATGGTGACTTAAAGGAGGATGTCTACATGCAACAACCTCCCGGGTTTGTTGATCCCAATTCTCCTACTTCAGTTTGCAAGTTGAAGAAATCCCTATATGGACTAAAACAAGCTCCTTGAGCTTGGTTTGATAAACTCTTTCAAGCTCTTCATTCTCTTGGGTTTCAACAATCTTCATCTAATGCCTCCTTGTTTGTTCTCCATGGTCCTCATTTAGTTATTGTTCTTGTGTATGTTGATGACATTCTAGTAACCGGTTCTCACTCACAAATCTGTCAACAGTTTATCACACAACTCAGTTCTCAGTTTCCAGTAAAGGATCTTGGTCCTTTACACTACTTCTTGGGCTTAGAAGTACACAGATCCTCCCACAGCATTTTTGTTCATCAATCCAAGTACTTACTTGATCTTCTTAAGAAAACACACATGGAGGGTGCCAAACCGTGCTGCACACCCCTTAGTTCCACAAAATTAGATAACAGTGGGCCTCTCTTGTCCAACCCCACTGAATATCGTTCTATTGTTGGGGGATTACAATACCTCACTTGGACTAGACTGGATCTCGCTTTTGCTGTCAACCAGATCTGCCAATTCATGCATGCTCCCAAGGAACAACATCTTCAGGCAGCTAAACGAGTTCTCCGATTTCTTAAAGGTTCTCTTTCCCACGGTTTATTGTTCACAAAGGGTTCAACCCATCTTTCAGCGTACTCTGATGCTGATTGGGCTGGCTGCACTTTTGATAGAAGATCTACCAGTGGCTATTGTGTGTTCTTAGGCTCTAATCTCATTAGCTGGAGTGCTAAGAAACAAAGTATTGTTGCCCGGTCATCTACAGAGGCTGAATATCGCTCCTTAGCTCATACAGCTGCTGAACTTACTTGGGTTTGCAAAATCCTCAGAGATCTTCACTTCCCTATCCCTACACTTTGGTGTGACAACATCTCAGCCATCTCCCTAGCATCTAATCCTGTTTTTCATGCTTGTACAAAGCATGTTGAGATTGATTACCACTATATTCGAGAATTGGTTCTAGCTAATCTTCTCAAAGTTCAGTATGTTTGCAATGCAGACCAATTAGCTGATCTTCACACCAAGTCCTTATCCAAAAGTCGATTTCAGTTCCTGTGCTTCAAGCTTCCCATTGGAATCTGTTCTGATTCCCCTTCTAGCTTGAGGGGGTGTATTAGGGAAAATGACAAGTCACCCATTTCAGTTACTGTTAAATAGTCTGTTATCTCTAAATGTAATTAGCTGTACTAATGCTTGTGATTAGTTAGACCTGTTATAAGGTAGGTAGTTAAGGGGTATCTTTGTAAATAGCCAAAGGCTATATATATGTCTTCACAGTGTACAAAATAATTAATTCAGAAATATAATTGTAAAGCTTACAGAGGAAGTTTCTAGTTTCTATACCTGTCACTCTCATGCTCGGTGACTGCACTAGTTGAACTTGAGCTTCCTTCCATCTTGGCTTTCTTCTCTTTCCAAATCTTGTAGTTCCTTTTCCAATGATCGGCTGAACCACATTCAAAGCAGCCTTCTTTTCCTTTTTCTTCTTGGATTTTGACCTTCCTCTGTTGCCGGTTTTCTCTTCCTTTGTCTATTCTTGCCTCCTCTCCTTGCCTTTGGCATAAAGGCCTTGAGAGCTTTTGATTATATCTAGTTTAGCATATGACTAAAGAGCTTGAATTATGTCTTCAAGTTTGAGGGACTCTTTTCCAAACATTAGAGTTTGAAAATGCTTGAAAGACGAAGGTAGAGACCTCAGCAAGATGATAGCCATATCACATCTTATAAGTTTCTTCAACCTTCTAAAGATTAGCTATGCAATTCTGGAACCTGCATACATGATCTTCAATATCACCTCCTACTTCTAGTCGAAGCCTGAATGGTTCATCCTTAAGAAAAAGTTTATTGGACACGGTTTTGCCCATATAAACATTCTCCAACTTTTCCCATGCTTCTTGGGCAGTCATCTTTTCGATGATGTGTGACTGAACTGATCTTGTGAGATGGATCTCGATGGAACTCTTGGCCTTCTTGAGAACCTTTGTCCATGCTGCTCTGTCATGTTTGCCGGCTTCTCACCATCGAGTGCATCATCCAAATCCTACTGTATCAGTACGTTCTTCATCATCCTTTGCCAGTCCGTGAAGTCATCATTGCCATCAAAGGGCTTTAAAGAAGGTCCTAGATCCGCATTCATCTTCCCTTTTGACATCGTAGAACACCTTGAACCTATCCCTTATACCAATTGTTGAAAAAACTGCACACTAGACCTTGTTCTTTAATGTAACCAACGACATTAGACTAAACTAGCAAATATAGAAAACTTAGAAACACACAAGACTTATACTGGTTCGGCAGAACTTTTGCCTACATCCAGTGGTGATTTCTCTAGGTATGGATAGTTTTGGATTAATTGTGCATCGTTGAATCTAGTTAGGCTCATCAAACATGTATTCATGCTTTTTTTTTTTTTTTTTTTCCTATTCTTTTCTTGTAATTCACATTTTCAGTTAACTTGATGTTAGAAAATCTAGTTGGCTTGGTTTCATGCCTTCTAAGGGCGTCCACAGTAGGCCGGAAAAGTGTGTGATACCAATATACTAAACTCATAGGAATCACACTTCTTTAGTGGGCCAGAAAATTTGAGTGTGATACCAATTTATTGAACTCATGAGGTCAATATGTTCTCATGAATATATCATACCCATGAATGTGGTACCAATATATTGAACTCACACTAGTGTAGTAGGAAGGAAAGGGGGCTTTGGTACTAAGTCGATGTGATGTATTGAAATTGTTTTGGTTTGTTTGGATGGAGAGAAATAGGAGATTTCTTAAAGGCCTACGTTAGAAGATCTAGGGAGAGTTTGTTTTTGGGATTCTTCAGGGGCTTCAGTTTCTTTAAATTTTAAGGACTTGTGCTATTTATTTATTCTAACTGGGATGCCGTCAATTAGTTTTGTCCTTTTGTTTTGTTTCTGTTGGGTCCTGTTTTGCTGTCTCTTTTGGTAGGTCTGGGGTTCACCCTGCCCCCTGTGTTGTATGTCTTTCTCTTTTTAATGAATTTTGAGTTTTTATAAATAAAGAAAATAAGATTGTATTGTTATTATGCTTCTTGTTATTGTTGCTGAACCCTGCTGTGATTGTGTTATCCAATTGTTGAACCCTGCTGTGATTGTGTTATCCAATTGTTGAACTTTAATGATTTACATGTCCTCTTGTTTTTTGTCACTTGGAAACGTTTATAGACAGTACGGCGACCATGTGTTGTATTTATGGACTTTGAACCACTGTATTGTTATATGCAGCGAGGAAGCTCAGCATCTAGCTGATAAGCTGAAGAAGATCACTGTGGCAGACTTAATGGAGTACGGAAGTTACTTTGTTGCCGTATGTCCTTCAGGGTCTTGAAACTTGCCGTATTTATAAACTTAAAATGAAACTCCACATACCTGAACATCTTCAAAACATCGTTCAAGATATATCAGAAGATTGGGACGAAATCCTGGAGGTTATGTTTGTTAGGGTGATGGAAGATGCCATACAAAGTCATGTGCTCTTGCTTTCTAAAATTAGTGGTATAAAAAAATGTCACAGATACACCACAAAAGGGATCAGATGAGACGGATGAAAATATTTCTAAAAGCAGACATCAACATCAGGAAGAAGACGACAACAATGATGGTGCAGATGATGGTGAAGGGGCTGAGGATTTTGGTCTGGATGCACAGAAGCGAAAGCTGCAAGCTTTTGATGAGATGGACTATGAAGATGGATGTGAAGATGAGGTGAGAGATGGGGATCTGACAGATAGAGATGAAGTTGAAAATAATGAGGAGAATGATGTTGAAAATGGTCAGTATGATGCACTTGGGGTCGTAGATGCTATCGATGAAAAGTCTGAAAGTCCTTTAGAAGAAGCTGGGGACCTGCCTAAGCCCAAGTCAAAGGAGATGAACAAATCAGGAGCCACAATTAAAAAGAAGGTCAGAGCACAGTTAGTAAGAAAACAGACTGACAGGTCAATATTTGTGTCAGCAAACGGGTTCCACTTTGAGGTCCATTTTAAATTTACGGATGAACCTCGTATTTTGCTGGCTCAGGTATGTTCAGTTTTACTCTTCCTCTTAATTTCATTAGAAAACTTGCCTACATAACACACGCAGCCGTCACCACTTATTGCCATTACCTAACATTGGATTCTTCCATCAACTTAAACATTGTCATAAGTTATAGAAATTTTAAAACAGCACCTCCAAAATTGTGTCAACTTATGAGTAAAATTACGATTTGATGTGATGTTCGGAGTCCCTATTTATTTTATTGTTATACATTCTCTTTCAGCCGTGTTGAAAGCCGTTTGAATTATGTTATGTAGATTGCTCAGCAGACAGCCCAGAAGGTTTGTATGCAAAGATCTGGCAATGTTGCTGACTGCAAACAAATTACTTGTGACAAAAATCAAGTCCTCTTATATGGAAAGGATCCTGAGAATAAACAAAGCTATTCATCCAAGTAAAAAAAAAGGAGACGGCAGCTCTTCAGACCACTGGAGTGGATTTCCGTACATTTTGGAAATTGCAAGATGTTCTTGATGTCAGGTATTTATATTCCAATAACATACATGCTATGCTGAACACTTACGGAGTAGAAGCCGCCAGGGAAACCATCATCAGAGAAATTGTGAATGTTTTCAAGTCTTACGGGATATCCGTCAACATTAGGCACCTTACGCTCATAGCTGAGTCTACATGACTCATACGGGTGGTTATCGTCCAATGAATAGATTTGGAGGCATCGCTTGGGACGGCTTCTAAGTTCATTGTGGAAGCAGCATACCATGGACAGACGGATGACTTGGAAACCCCGTCCGCTAGGATCTGTCTTGGATTGCCAGTCAAGGTGGGTACTGGATGTTTTGATTTGGTGCAGAAGATAGAGGTTTAGCGTAGCTCTTTTGTTATTTGACGTCTTTCTCCCGAACGTACTTTCCCATTTTTGGTGTAGTGGAAACAACAATCTTGGTTTTGTAGGTTTACTTTGGTTTCGATTTCGTCCGTATGGTTTCAATTGTCGAAATAATTGAAATCAAATTGACGACATATCGGTCATAACAATGACACAATGATGATATAACGAGGATGTGCTGAAAATGAATCAGTTCAGCTACCAAATGTTAATAATGGATCAAAGCTTTCATCATTTCTTAACACATTTCTTAAGAGCTTTTGAAAATAATTTTCTTTAAGACTCAAAAACTTATTTGGTATGAGATTTAAAATTGTTTTAAAACTAAGAACTTAAATTGAACAAAAAGATCCAAAGAGGGGGTTGGAGGAGAGGGAGAAAGAGGAGGAAAGAAGGAAAGAGAGGATCGGAGGTGAGAGATAGAAAGGAGAGAATTGGAGGAGATAGAGAAAAGGAGAGAGAAAGGAGAAAAAAGAGAGGAGAGATAAGAAAAGAAAGATTTGGAGTAAGAGGGGAGGAGAGAAAAAAGAAATTAGTGGCCTTTAAGTTTAAAAACTCTAAAATGTTGTAATTCACATGCCATTCATTGTGGATGGCCACCTATCCTACTACCAATCTACTGTTCATCCCACCACAATTTTGTCTAAAGCCTTGTCTATAAAATGGATGAGAAGGAGAGCAAATATACACAGATAGACATACGGCTAGTAGAGGAAGAAGAGAGGAGATAATAGAAAGAGTTATCTTTGTAATGTTATTATTCCATATTATAATGAAAGCACCATTGCTACCTCGAGGACGTACTCGAGTCACACTGACTGTAGAGAAACCTCGTAAATTTTGTGTCTTATTTATTTATTTATTTCATTGCACATATCGTCAGTTTTACAACACATTATTAGCACGAGAAGCTCTCGTGTCAGTGGAAAGCACAAAGCCACAAATCCTGTTCACCTATGTTGCCTGGAATCTCACAGATAAGAAAATCTTTTCATTTCATCATAAAATTTGTGTACTACTGATTTCCCTGAAGCAAATATATATATATATATATATATATATATATGTTGTTGTATGACTGTATATCATCCTTTGTAGAAGCAAATAAATACAGACTCAATATTTGTAGAGAATCTGACAACCATCTAAACGGCCTCAAAACTCCAACTTGCAGACCTCGGATTGAAATACTTTCCTCTTCAAAGTTGTTCGTACGCCTAGTACCTACAACATATCAAAGTTTCAGAAAATTCCAACGGTGCGATCATCCCAGATGCCTAAAATATCAAACCAGTTTCCAATTTCCGCAGAAAATTGGGCAGGCACCTTATGAGTACCAAAACTCCATTTCAGTAGCTCAGATCGAAATTATTTCTTCACAAAAGTTGTTCGGTATCCTCTTATCCAAATCATACTAAAATTCGAGCTAAATCTAATGGTTTGATCTCCAAAACTTATAGGAACTGTTTCGACTTTTTCGAAATTCACTGGAGGAGGAACAACAATTGGAACTTATTGTTACTATTACTTCCAGAGTAACTAAAAGGACTTAGAGTTGTGAAATGAAAAATAAAATAAAAAGAAGTGGGAGACCAAGAAAAAGAAAAAGCAAAAGATGAGGACTTAATCATTGCATTTTCTATTTTGTCATATTTATGTGCATGGTGTTGGTTTAAAGCCCTATCACAAGTTCGATGTATTTATAGTGGGTAGAATTATTACCTTTTGCTTTAAAGCTTTGATATTTATGTGAATGATGCTGAATCAAAGCCCTTATCATAAGTTTTATTTACTTAAAAGCAATTTATTTACCATGGCTGGAATTACCGCCTATTGCTTTAATTTATGTATTGTACTTCTTTTTTTTGTTACGATGAGTACATACTGGACCTGAAGTTCCTTGATCAGATAAGAACCTGAAGTTTCTTGATCCTCATCACATAAAATGATTGGACCCAACGTTCCATCATGCAAAAAGATCAGGAATGAAGTCCCTAGATCCTCAAGATCGGACATGAAGTTTCTTGATAAGTACCTTAAGTTTGAAGAGCCGAAGTGCCACAACTTAATTGTAATAAATGACATAAGAGTCTTAGTCCACATACTATTAAATAAAGACCAGAAGTTCCTTGATGGATGTAAATGATGATATAATGTATATTTGCTGAAGAGTTTACATCTCAAAGTCTTCATGATTATTGCATATCACTGGGCATTGATGTTGAATGCCATGTTCCTCATGTCCATACCCAAAAATGGTTTAGAAGAAGTATTTATTAAGCGAATGAAATTGATTACCCGCGCTCTGCTCATGAAAAAGAAATTGCAAGATGGGTACATACCATTTTACATAATTCATTATTAAGTTTGGTTGAGACCAGTTGCCAACCATCAATATTTCTCAGTACAACTCGTGTTTGGGTACCAGCCAAACATTACACATTTATGAGTTTTTGGTTGTGTAATCCATGTGCCTATTGTATTGCCACAACGTACTAAAATAAGGCATCAATACAAACTGGAAATTTATGTTGAATTTGATTCACCATCTATCATTCAACATTTGGAACCCTTGACTGGGGATATGTTTACTGCGCAGCTTGAAGACTAGGATTTTGATAAGACAGTTTTTCCCGCTGTTAGGGGGAGAAAATAACATCGTTCCAGAAGAATGATGAGAAAATATCATTTCAAAAGAATGATGAGAAAAAACTGTTCCAGAAGAACGAAGAGAATTTGTCTTATTTTGATTCATGAAGCAATCAATATAAAAACGAAGTGAGAATAATTCAATGATGCAACGATATGCAAATCAAATGCCATATGTATTTAATGATGCAACGAAAGTAATAAAATCACATATACTTGTTGCAAATGTGCCTACATGAATTGATGTTCCTATTGAACAAAATAATGTGGTAACAAATCTACATGCATGAAGCGTGGCAAACCCTTAGATTCAAAATGTTCAGTACTTCAAAAGAAGAATATAACACTACTAAACTATTCCATTCCCAAAGCATAACTGTTGCATGCCGGAAGCATGGCAGTCGCCGTATAGATACATGTCCCAAAAAGGACAATCCGCGGACATGGGAATGTTGATGTCTCATGCATGAAGCATGATAGACATATAGGTTCCAATGACTCAACTCCCCAAAGTGGAGATTAAAATCCCAGCTCTATAACGCTCTAGAGGAGGTTATGATCCGCATTCTTTAAATTATGACTCTCCTAGAAGAAATAGTGTAATGTCCTTGAAAAGACAATGGATATCCAAATAAATGAAAAGCTTTTATGCATGTGCATGCACATGAGAATATGGGATCAATGATTGATGACCACCAATGGTAATTTTGGTTTTTACAAGTAGCTACTAAATTCATCAATGAGTTGTATTGATATTGAGTCACATTTTTTTGTTCGTCGATGAAAGGAAATATTATTTGCCAGAAACAGAGAAAAGAAATTCCATTACAATCTTGTAAGAACGTGAAAAAATGAACCTATATATATGTATATTATACAAATAGCCAAAAGATGTTGAACCAAATGAGGTTAAATATGGGCATTTGTAATATAGTGAATTACACTCACATGATATGACATAAGGTTACTAACTGAAGCCTGAAATTATGCTCTTATAAACAAGTTCATATGAATGAAGAATTATATACGAAGGGTTATGAGTCGCCCACATCATATCTCTATAAGTAAATCCCTCAAATATACATTGAAGCAAGTTGCTCTGTATAAATTCCAAAGGAAAATGTGTCATGAAGTGTAGAAAATCCCTAAAGGATTCAAATTGCTTGAAGTAAGCCCTGGAAGGGTAAAGCATAAATTATGTACTCAATACCAATGGATGATATAAATTGCCTATGAATACTATTATTATGATATTGTTGTAACATACTAAAATCTCTTGTAAAAGTCGATAATATTAGATTTAGACTCCTGAAGAGTCTAGAAAGTTTATAAAGTGTTGAGAGAGATATTATTTCGAACTACAAAATCGAACATTATGCCAGCATGAATCTTATCCATGATGTTTATAAAGAGTCATATGCATTGAAGATTATGAGTTGAATACTCAAATTATTTAGACACTAAGAATGATCATTTATCTTCGTGAAGGTAAAGATAAATTGATATTTGGTCTAGAAGTACCACATCTTAGTGAAGTATATGCTTTATTGTATTTGGTACAATACATTGAATGAAATAAAGCTTATCTATTAATATCTCCGAGAAATTACATACACATGAGTTAAAACAAACAAATAGGAGGGAACCTTTCACAAATGTCGCTCATGTGAAGACTCAGTACTCGGAAGTACCCCAGAAGGGGAAGGCACCAGAGGTTGATTATTTGGAGCTTCAGTACTTGGTGAAACTTCAGATGGCTGAGACAATGGGTGCCTATGGAATAAAGATTTGAACCTTTGATTGTCATTTTGAGTCCAACCTTCGGATTCCAGTAGCTGTCCGAGCTTTCTTTTCATGCTCATCGAGTAATTATTTGCAAGCATGTGTAACACTCTATTCTCGTGCTTGAGTCTTCTAATCTTTTGTTTAAGACTTGCCACCTCAGCCATCAATGGTTCAACTTGGTGAGTTTGAGCAAGTAGGCGTTGGCCCATATTAGAAACAAAGCATGCACACTGAATACTGAGAACCAAAGAGTCTTGAACGGCCGACTCATCAGACCGGTTTGAAAGGATTTTATTATCCTTGGGAGTGAGAAGATTCCTAGCTACCACTGTAGCGGTTAGGTCATTCTTCATCACTGAGTCCCCAACTGTAAGAGGACCATTAGAAGATAAGAAGGACGGGTGTCATATATTATCCTGACGTGGCTCGTCTGTACCACTCTTAAAACTCAAATCTAAGAAATTGTTAGATGGGCAAGCCATTTTTTAGAAATGAAAGGAAAAAGGAGGAAAGAAAAAATCTCAAAAGTGCAAGAAAGGGAAAATTCTACATGCAGTAGTTTTTCGAGCATACATTTTGAGCACAATTGATGCCTCTATAAAAGAAAAAGCAACAGGGCTACTTGTTCAAAAATCGAAGAGACACCGCTCTCCGAATTTCAAAAGCCAGATTTTTAGGATAAAGTTTGTCAACATTTCTTAGATGCAATCTTAGCTTTTGGATATCACGTGCAAGTTTGTCAAAGATCTCTGATAAAGTTGAAAACACGTGAATCTTACTGTTCTAATTAGACCACAGTT